TGTTTTATAGCCTTACAGCGTTTAGTGTAACACTGGGAATGTGTGATGAAATCATGTTCATTGACCTTTTCACTGTTGATATCTTTATTTTACTGTCCTCCCTTCCCCATAAAATAGCTCAGAAACCGTATACAAATTACCTTACTTACCTGCGCTTGGCTTCCCAAAGGAGGATCGTAAGAACAAAAGACACAGCAGCTCTTCTCTGCCCTTGGCTGTCCCTCTCCTCATTTCATTGGCAAAGGGAAACATCACAACTGAAAACTAATCATCAGTTAAAATTAATTAGGAGTCCACTGCACTTAAACCAGGGAAGGAAACATTTCTAATTAGCAGTGAGTGAGCACAGAAGAAATAAATCTCCTATGTATAGGCAATCATGGGTTTAGCTCACAGATCTCTGAGAATAATGTACTTGTGTCCACCACAGGTGACAAGATTTAACCAAACTCGGGAAGAAAGAAGAATAAGAACACTACACATGCGAATATGAATGCCTTTAATAGGAATGTATTTAAAACTTGTCTCAACAATAATGTCTCCAAAAGGAACTAATGAGTGACTTCTGCTTCATTACCATAGGACTCTGAGGAGGAGGAAAATGATCTGGAGGCTCTTAACAGGAAGCTGATAAGTTCCCAGCCTTATGTGCCTGTGGAGTTTGCGGACTTCAGTGTTTACAATGCCAGCTTGGAGAACAGGGAGTGGTTTTCTTCAAAAGTAGATTTGGTGAACTCAAGGGTCTTGGAGAAAGAGGTGTCCCGTAGCCCTACCACCAGCAGTATTACCAGCGGCTACTTTTCCCACAGTGCCTCCAACGTCACTCTGTCCGACATGGCGGTCCCTTCTAGTGACAGCTCAGACCAGCTAGCCATTCCCACAAAGGATACGGACTCCAGTGAGCATTACGGACCGTCACTGGTGCATGATTTCAGACCGTCCTCAAACAAAGAGTTGACAGAACTAGAGAGAGGCTTGGTTAAAGAGAAGGTAATTATGGTGCCACTCAAGGAAAACAGTGCCTTAGCCAAAGGGAGCCCATCACCCCAAAGCATCGCTGAGAAACACTCCAAGACGCTCTGTTGGACTGGCTCCTGTTCAGGACAAGATGCCTGCTCCGGCCGAAACGGCCAGCCAGCCAGAGAGTTTTACCCCAGGGAAGTGACCATAGAGCACACCACAGATATCCTTGAGGACCATTCTTTCACAGAGTTTATGGGTGTGTCCGATGGGAAGGATTTTGACGGCTTGACAGATTCTTCAGGAGAGCCTTCAAGTCGAAGAAATCTACCCAATAAAATGGACAGGAAAAGTATCTCGGATGGGCCGCAGGGCCCCGCCCAGCTGCCTTCCTCGGCAGGGAAAGGCCAGGTAATGAATTCTAGAGGCAGTCCTCGGTGCCCCGTACTGCTGGGGAGCCTGCCCGGTTGTGCCCCGAGCCCCGGAGGCGCTTCTCCACTGGACTTAGTAGGAGAGGTTCACTCAGTGCTTCTGACGGGGAAGATGGGCTCGCTGGAGAGCAAGCTCACACCCACCGCTGGGCGCCAGCCAGCCAGCTCTGTGCTGTGTCACATGGGACAATGGAATATGAGGACCAGTGGCTTTTTATATATATATAACTTTTTAAAGTTTATTTTTTACTTTAGAGAAAGAGACACATAGAGCGTGAGCAGGAGAGGGGCAGAGGTGGTGGGGAGACACAGAATCTGAAGCAGGCTCCAGGCTCTGCGATGTCAGCACAGAGCTAGACGTGGAGCTTGAACCCGCACACCGTGAGATCATGACCTGAGCCAAAGCCGGACCCTTAACTGAGCGAGCCACCCAGAAGCCCTGGACCAGTGGCTTTCTAACTGGCATGTGGGTTGGTGACAAATTAAGCTTTCACATGGGCAAAGATCATTCAATCTCATATTATTCTCTGAGATGTTTAATTACTGGCTATCCCAAGGCAGTCAGGTAGCATCTACTGTATTTGGTGAAATCTGTGACTTCTAAAAATACTAGATAAACCATTATTTTAGGTATCATTACAAAAAATACTTCCAATGAAACCACTTCACATTAGGGGTGCCTGGGTGGCTTAGTCGGTTAAGCGTCCGACTTTCGCTTAGGTCATGATCTCGCGGTTCGTGGGTTCGAGCCCCGCGTCGGGCTCTGTGCTGACTGCCAGCTCAGAGCCTGGAGCCTGTTTCAGTCTGTGACTCCCTCTCTCTCTGACCCTCCCCTGCTCACGCTGTCTCTCTCTCTCTGTCTCCTAGAAATAAGTAAACATTTCAAAAAAAAAAAAAAAAGAAACCACTTCACATTAGTAGATGTGTAAGACACATCCCAATCTCAGAGGTGTTAAAAAGGGACGTAGGGGAAGGGAGGCAGGAATTGTAGAATTGACTTTAAAAACCATCATTTGGGGCACCTGGGTGACTCGGTTGGGTGTCTGACTTCGGCTCAGGTCATGATCTCATGGTCCATGGGTTCGAGCTCCACGTCAGGCTCTGTGCTGACAAGCTCAGAGCCTGGAGCCTGCTCTGGATTCTATGTCTCCCCTTCTCTCTGCTCCTCTCCTGTTTGCACTCTGTCTCTTTCTGAAAACTAAAGAAACATTAAAAAAGAATTTTTTTTTAAACGTCATTTGGTGCCCATAGGTAAAAGCATGTTTGGGGGAAGTATAGGTAAATTCCCAGAGCAGTTGAAGTTTGGGCTTTGGAAGTTACCAGGTTGGTTATAATGTTTAATTTTATAGTTTAATAGTTTAATTTTTTAGTTTCATTCCTAAACTAATGGAACAAAGTGGATGTTTCCTGACAGTCCTAAAGAAAACAGCAAATTATATAAATGAGAGATTATCCACCTCTGGGGGCTCGGCTCCTGAAAGCCACCATTTCTTTCCATCCAGGGTCACTGTTTTCGTCTCACGCCCACTGCAACTGAATGAGGGGAATGGGAGGGCCAGAATTTAGCAAAACAAAGAGCAGGCAGAACTGGAAAGATAATCTAGAAAGATATGAGGCCATCGGTCTCTACTTTGCTGAGGAAGTTATTCTGGTTTGGTGGCTTTTCCCCCACAAGCTCTGCCCCTTTTCATACTAGCCCTTAACATTTCAGTGTGGTCACTTACACAGGGTGATGTGGGATTACGGTGATTTGATTCTTTTTATATTGCTTTATTATTTTTGTTGTAATACTATCTGGTTTTAGTAGGTTACGGCGACAGTTTTTTACTTTAACGTTGGGTCTTGCTGCCATCACTTTTGCTAGAAGCTTCACCTTGGGACAAGGTTTCTCCCTTGTCTAGTGTAAACCCTAGAACCGGATTCCATAATAAAGTGCATCCTGTGGGTGCCTTCAGGGAGAGCCCCAGGTGTGGGGTGGGTGATGTCTGGCTGAGAGTGGGCCCCATGCGTACTTGTTGTGTGTGTGTGTGTGTGTGTGTGCGCGCGCGCGCGTGCACGCACGCTGGTGTTTGGGGATGGGGATGGGGTGGGGGGATCGGGAGCCTGAACTCAGCGTCTGCATTCCAGGGGAGCACGAGCACTCGGTGAAAGGGAGTGAGCACCTGCTGGCAGACCACGACGTCTGTTCCCGTCTGCCTCGTGGAAGCACCAGCCTCATCTGTAACACATGCTGCGGCCCAGCCGGGACCCCGGACCAGCGTGGAGAAGCCGTGTGCTTCATGGGGCCCCTGCCTTCTCCTCTCGAGCTGGGAGAAGCCGGCACTTTGTCAGTCAGGTGAATCGGCAGCTTCTGCTTTTTCCGGAAAGCCAGAGAACCGAAAATCCTGGATTGAATTAAGTGGCAGTATTTTTGTTTGCACTTCCTCCTACACACACCCACTGTGTAGACACCGCCACAGATTCAAACAGACTTTATTATTGTACAGTTTTAATCAGTTCTTACTGTAGAATCTGGAGTCAATGCTCTTTTTTTTTTTATAAGTAATATATATGATGTATATGAAATGTATATCTATAGTATGTCTGTTCAGAGACAGATAAGACTGCACATGAAAATGCAGATAAAAGTGGTTTCTAGAAAATCCTAAGGTACTGGACTTGGTTACAGAACCACTTAGGTAATCTCTTACACATGAGCAGATGAAAAAGATATGATTGCCTGAGAATGAGGTTGCAAATCCCTTTTGCAGAAAAGGTTACAGAATGCCGTTCTTTACAACCAAAGAACTTCCATAAGACTGAACGTTTTTGCTGTCCCCTCGTTCTGTGTGTACATATCTGTGTGACTGCGAGCTTGGTGCCACACTCCTCTTGGCCGCCAGGCCGCATGTAGCCGTTCTCTGTCCTGTTTCCTATAAAGCACACTGAAAAGTCTCACAGCTGTGTTCCTCAGTCTTCCACCTGGCCCACCACCTGCTGACATGACAGTGTATTGTGACTGTCGACGATGCCTAGGGCCTGACTCCAGCCTTGCTTCTCCGTGGTTGTGGTCGGGCCAGCCAGGCAGGCGGAATTCGGAGAGCAGTATTACTGTTAAGAGAACAGAAGGACATGCCTGGGAGTTGGCTTTGGGGAGGGGAGGGGATGCTGATTTTGTCTTTTTTGTGGTTTTTCGTTTGGGATCGGTAGGTTTCGTTGTGTGGTTTTGCTGTTGTTAATTTTACTCCAGTTCTGGAAAACACTGAAGGCATGGGATGAGCTATTAAGTTCACAGGTGCCGGCTTCACCGTGTCTGCAGCAGAGGGCCCTGGTGTCCACGTCTTCATTCGCAGAGTTCTGCTAACATCGAAGGAGACGCCGAAGGATTACGTGTGTGGGAATTTTTACAGAAGTAGTTCTTGCGCCCGTTCTGTACGTAGATGCCTGTAAAATCGGTGCGGATGTACAGCAATAAATGTGTTGTGGGAGAGAGAGAATGTGTACATTCTCTTAAGTTTTTCTTTTCAGTTCTTAGCCAGGAGTAAGATTTTGGAGACTTTAATGAGAAGCTGCTGTTGACAACTTTGGTGTATAGTGAGCCGACTGTAGTATTTTGCTATTGTCTGTTTTAAAAAAAAAAAGGAAAATTGTAATTTATATCCCCTTTCAACTTTATTGTATTTAATTGGTACAGATTGTGTGTGTGTGTCTGTGTGTGCGTGTGTGTGTTAGAATACAGACTGTCTAATTCAGATTTTAAAACATCAGTTGTTTGTCTTTAATAACTCTGCCAATTAGCTTCAGATCTAATCTCCCATATGTGTAGGTACATACATGTCACGGTAGTAGTAACAGCCAGCATTCTCTGAGCGTTCACTGCGTATGAGGCACTGTTCCCAGCCTCTGATACATAGCATCTTGCTTAATCCTCACAGCAGTGGGTGCCGTAGAGGCTGCTATTATTTATTAAGTGTTGGATGATGGAAAACCGAGGTCAGAGCAGCAGGTCAGTGGGAGGGTGACAGATCCTGGATTCAGCCCCTGCTTCCGTCACTCTCCTCCTGTGCCATGTCCAATTACATGTCACGGAACAGCAAGACTCCGACGACGGGGCACCTCCAGAGTACAGACGGGGCTGTGCGGAGTCTCACGGGTTCCGGTTCCAAACTGACCAGTGCGTCACCTGCAGTAGACAGAACAAGGTGTGTGGCGCATGGCCCCTGCACACAGATGAGCCTTTGAGAGAGTAAGTGACAGTGTCTGTCCTGCCCTGTGACAGAGTGGCTAGCGAGAGCTGACTGCGAAAGGCTTACCTTACAAGAGTAGCGCACAACGTTTTTAGAAAAATCTCCAGTGCTCACAATAGCTTTTCTGAACAGGGCAGGAATTAGACGTAGTCAGGGCTCCCGGGTGGCTCTGTCAGTTAGGCGTCCAACTTCTGCTCAGGTCATGATCTCATAGTCCGCGGGTTCGAGCCCCGCATCGCGCTCTGTGTGGTCAGTTGAGAGCCTGGAGCCTGCTTCAGATTCTGTGTCTCCCTCTCTCTCTGCCCCTCCCCCGCTCATGCTCTGCCTCTCAAAAAAAAAAAAAGGCATTTAATAATAAAAAGAATTAGATATAGCTTGTCCTGGACAGACGAGTGTCTTTCGTAGACTTCCAGGAGAAAGTAGAGAGCAGGGAAGGCCTATAGTAATTTGAATTTTATAGCATAGAATTGAGGGAGGAAGACAGTTATTTAATATTTAAATAAATGATGACTACAAGTAGAATTCAAGACAAAATGAGCAAGCTGTCATTCCTTCTACTGTGGAATGAGATCAATGGTATTTGGTCATCGACTTTGTCATCATAACTGGGGAAGAGCAAACTATCCAATATGCTAAAACCAGTTAAGTGTGTTTAACAGCTGATTTCCAAAGTACAATATTACTAGTGTCCTCACATTTGTTTATGGTTATTTGGACACACATTTTATCATAACAAAAATGTAGCCTTGTGTTTCTAGGGCACCAGCTTTTGGGAAGAATGGCTTCGTAAAAATACCTTTAGAGTTAAGTAATAGCAAGATAAGACTTCTGCTTATCCCGCTTTAGTCCGTACTTACTTTAACAATTACAATGAACTATTAATAACAATAAATATTGTAATTTAAGCCTTTTTTAAAGTTTACTTATTTATTTAGAGAGAGAACAGGTGCGCACACATGCATGCACATGCGGGGAAGGGACAAAGAGAGAGGGAGAGAGAATCCCAAGCAGACCCTGCGCTATCAGCCCAGAGCCTGATGTGGGACTTGATCCCAGGAACCGTGAGATCATGACCTGAGCCAAGATCGAGAGTCAAATGCTTAACTGGCTGAACCACCCAGGTACTCCTACAATATTTAAGCTTTAGAACAGTTTGGGGGTGGGAGGGAGGAAAGACAACTAATGACATAATTAATCTTTATTTTTAAAAAGTAAAGCTCTCTGGTCATTAAGAAGTCCTGAAAGAAGATGTGATTGAATAAGAGTTCTTGCTGGCTTTTCTGGAATGAAAAGAGGTAAAAATAGAAAAGTATGCCACCAGGGCACAGTCACGTAGAGAATTTTTGCATTCACCCTTGAGCTTGCGTATTACAGTAACACGAGCACAAGTTTCTTTCCATAATGTTGAGCCTACCTCCTACATTGAAAAACAACAAATCAGCTGTAATACTCAGGCACTCCAACCTGGAGGGAAAGCAACTTGGAGAGGAAAAAGAAAGGTCCGGTTTGGTTTTAGAAAAGCATAAACCAACTTGACCCTTTCACATAACCTAAAACATCTGTCACTAGATTTTAAAACTGGAACACATGGATGTTTATAACAACTTCAAACTATTATTTGGGGCCGTCCTTTCCTAAATACCTGCCTGAACCAAACAATACCAAGATGCCCTTACATTTCTTTGTTATAGTTTGTCTTTACTTAGTCTAGAATGGCTTTCTGGGTATAGCCCGGAAGAGTAGATGTGTTTTTCCTTGACTAAAAATCTGAGCCAAAAGCCAGGCCTTCATGTAACTGGTTAGTCACCCTTGTCTGAATCAGCATAATTCATACCTAGCGTATGGTCAACCACAAATGAGCCAAGCTATTTAAAAACACCAGAGTTAAAATACTAGCCATAGCAACTGCCAAGAAAGGAGCATTTCACCAAGAATGAGGCTGTAAGATCTAATCCCGGCACCACTTTCATTCAGTACTGTCTTCATGATGATATGGATGCCAATTTCCTACATTGTCCCCTTGTCCTTTTATATATAAGGTATATATTTGTGAGAAAGCTAGAGTATTCGTTATCTATTGCTGCAAACTGAAGTACTCTTAAACTCAGTGGCTTGAAACAATAATAAACATCTCACATTGTTTCTGTGGGTCCAGAATTCAGGAGTGGGTATTTCTAGGTAGTTCTGGCCACAGTGGCTCAGAGGTGGTAGTCAAGATGTCAGAGCTGCAGTCATCTGAAGACTTGCTTAGGACTGGAGGACACACTTGTAGGATGACTTTTACAGCTGGCAAGCTGGCGCTTCCTCGCCGTATGGACCCCTTCACGCTGCTTGACCTCATGGCATGGTAGCTGGCATCCCCAGGGAATGGTCCTGGGGGACAAACGGAAGCCACACTGACTTTTATGACCTAGACTCACAAGTCACACTCTGTCACTCCCACCACTTTCTGTTCATTAAATTGAGGCACGGGACCAGCCCCCACTGAAGGGGGAAGGAAATTAGGCTTTCCTTTTGAAAAGAGGAATGTCTAAGAATTTGTAGACATATTTTTAAACTTCCATAGCTAGTTAGGAGTTACATAGCTGAGGCCATGGACCAAAGCAGAGCTAACTAGAACTTATGACTGGATATAGGAAGTAATAGAGTCAAAAAGAAACCCACATTTTCATGGAATAAAACAGGTATTAATAAAAAAGTGAAAATACTAGGATTATTTCAATATGTGAGTTATGGCCAGTAAACAAACTGCACCAATATTCCTGGGGGAGGCAAATGATCACAAACTATTAATTATGTTTCTATTTATAGTTATGTTTCCACATTTGATTCTTTTCAGATTTGCTTCTTAGAGGTGCAAGCACATGAATATATTTGATGGTTTTGCTCAACATAGGGAGTGGATCTTAGGAAATTCAAGCATATTTTTACTTATTAAGGCAAGTGATTTTAATGACTAGCTTTTGAAAGAAAATTGCCAACAAAAGAAGAGTCCATAGGATTTTTTTCTGAAGATACTGACAATGGTAGGATTATTTTATTATTAAAATGTGATACACAGCCCAATGTTTGGAAATAAAAGGGGCTCAAAGCTCTTGAAGCTTATAAAATGAAACTTTAAAAATTTTTTAAAGTTTATTTTGAGAGAGACGAGTACGCGTGGGGGAGGGGCAGAGAGAGAGAGAGAGAGAGACAATCTCAGGCAGGCTCCGTTCTGGCAACACAGAGCCCAACTCAGAGCTCAAACTCACGAAACTGAAATCATGACCTGAGCCAAAATCAAGAGTCAGACTCACAGGGTGCCTGGGTGGCTCAGTCAGTTAAGCAGAAGACTTTGGCTCAGCTCATGATCTCACATGAACCTACAGGCTCATGGGTTCGAGCCCCAGGTCAGGCTCTACGCTGACAGCTCAGAGCCTGGACCCTGCTTCAGTTTCTGTGTCTTCCTCTCTGCTCCTCCCCCATTCATGCTCTCTCTCTCTCTCAAAAATAAACACTAAAAACAATTTTCAGAAGAGTCCTTCTCTCAACCAACGAAGCCACTCAGGTGCCTCTCAAAAATCCAAAACAGGATAACTGGAAAAAGAAATTTAAAGTGAGGGGATTTGGGGGGAGGAGCTAAGATTGCAGAATAGGAGGTGGACTCTAGGCTTGTCTCCTCCCATGAACACAGCTAGATAAGTCATTCTGAACACCCAAGCAACAGATCCGAGGACTGACCGAACAAACTACACTTGAGGGAGAGAAGAGGCCACATCATCAAAGGTAGGAGGTGCGGAGATGTTCGGGGGAGAGACAGTGGGTGCTGTGGAGGGAAGGAGCCCTGCCTGTGGCCCAGGTGAGAGGGAACTAGGGGAGCACACAGGATCACACTAGGAAGACACTTCCCCGAAGCCACTGACAGAGAAAGTGAGAGGGGCTGATTTTCATGAGTTTTTGCCACCAGCGGAGCTCAGAGACTGGAGTCTCGGAGGTCTACAGCACGGCTGGGGCCCACCCCTCGGGGTGCTGCAGTGCTCCAGCAGAGGAGGTGAGCGGGTAACCCAGGGGCAGACTGCGTGACCTGAGGACTGTCTGAGACTCCCCGAGACAGACTTCTCGCCCTTTTTGGAGCACATCTGAGAGAGGTGGCTTGCCTCTCCGGGGACAAAGGAGCCAGCGGGCAACACTTCCCTCCCCCGCCCCTCAACATAGGCACAGAGACCCCTACTGAGGGAGGCTAACCTGGACGCTGGTTCTTCAGTGCAGTTTGCTCCAAACTCCATGCTGCGTGCTGGTGCAGCCGCCTTTCCGGGTCAAATGTGCATCGATCCCAGCGAGCCAAGACCCACCCCAGAAGATCAGTGCGGGTCGCCACCACACCAGGTCCCTAAAGTTTGGAGTTTTAAAACTCAGCCAGCCTGGCTGGGATAGAGCCCAAAGTGTTCTGTGCTGCTCCAAACAGGCAAGCAACCCGGATACAGACATTGGGAAAACAGCAATCTGAAAAACACCTAGGATGCATGAGGGGAAATTATTCACTCCTCTAGGAGGTCTTCCCTGATAGCAGCAAGCACAAACTCCCCTCACTAGGGACAAAGCTGGCTAGTGCCATTTCCCTCCCCTGCTCCTCAGCATGAGCCAACTTCAGTAAACAGCACTGCACCAACACTGGCTGCCTAACCTGCTTGCACCAAGCCCCACCCCCCTGCACTCTGCTGGTACTGCTTTCCTCCAGGAAGTGGCCTGAGAATCAGCGTAGCAGGCCCCTCCCCCAGAAGACCAGTACAAAGGCCGGCAGGCACCAAGTCTACTGACCAGAGTTCTCCAAATCTTCAGCGCTGATGGAAATAGCATCAGGTCTCTTAAGCAGACTAGAGCAAACCTAGTAAACACTTGCCACACTCTGGCCAAGATCCAAACACTCCGCACTGCAGGCAAGGAGAAACTCTACAGACGGATAACCTGAGGGATAGAGCAGCCATAACACAGCATCAGAGTGCATGCAGCATACACAAGCATGCAGCATGACCCCACTTATGTCAATGGACAGATCATATAAGCAGAAAATCAAAAGGAAACAATAGTTTTGAATGGCACAATGGACCCCATGGACTTAACAGATATATTCAGAATATTCTATCTTAAAAAAGCAGAATACACATTCTTTTTGAGTGCACATGGGACTTTTCCAGAATACATCACATACTAGGTCACAGGTTAGGCCTCAACAAATACAAAAAAATTGAGGTCATACCATGCATATTATCTGACCACAACACTATGAAACTTAAAGTTAATCACACGAAAAAAATCTGGAAAGACCACAAATACGTGGAGGTTAAAGAACATCCTACTAAAGAATGTATGTGTGTATATATGTATATACATATATACATATACACACATGTATATGCACACATATACATAGAAACAAATGAAAACATGATGACCCAAAACCTTTGGGATGCAGCAAGAGCAATCATAAGAGGAAAGTATATAGCAATACAGGCCTACCTCAGAAGCAAGAAAAATCTCAAATAAGCGACCTAACTTTATACCTAAAGGAGCTAGAAAAAGAACAAGAAAGCCTAAAGCCAGCAGAATAAAGGAAATAATAAAGATTAGATGATAAATAAATGATACACAAACAAACAAACAAAAAAAAAAACCAGTAGAACAGAGCAATGAAATCAGGAGCTGGTTCTTTGAAAAAATTAATACAACCAGTAACCCCTCTAGCTAGAGTTATCAAAAAGTGAAAGAACCTAAATAAATGAAATCACAAATGAAAGAGATGAAACACCACAGGAATATAATTATAAGAGAATATTATGAGGGGCACTTGGGTGGCTCAGTCAGTTAAGTGTCTGACTCTTAGTTTCAGCTCAGGTCGTGATCTCACTGTTTGTGGGTTCAAGCCCTGCATTGGTCTCTACACTGCCAGTGTGGAACCTGCTTGGGATTCTCTCTTCCTCTCTCTGGCCCTCCGCCACTCACTTTCTCTCAAAATAAACAAACTTAAAAAAGAGAGGGAATATTATGAAAAATTATATGCCAATAAATTGTGCAATCCAGAAGAAATGGATAAACATATAAAGTACCAAAACTGAAACTAACCAGCAAAAAAATGGAATCAGTAATCAAAAATCTCCCAACAAACAAAAGTCCAGGGCCAGACGGCTTTACAGGGGAATTCTACCAAACATTTAAAGAGGTAATACCTATGCTTTTGAAACTATTCCAAACAATATAAATGGAAGGAAACCTTCTAAACTCATCCGCAAGGTCAGGATTACTTTGATTCCAAAACCAGACAGACTCCACCAAAAAAAGAGAACTAAAAGCAAGTATCCCTGATGAACATGGATGTAAAAATTCTCAACAGAATATTAGCAAATTGAATCCAACGGTACATTAAAAGAATCATTCACCATGATCAAGTGGAATTTATTCCTGAGTTGAAAGGATGGTTCAGTATTTGGAAATCAATCAATTGTGATACACCACATTAATAAAAGAAAGGATAAAAACCATATGATCCTCTCAGTATTTACAAAAAAGCATTTGACAAAGAACAGCATCCATTCTTGATAAAAATCTTCAACAGAGTAGGCTTAGAGGGAACATACCTCAACATAATAAGAACCGTACAGGAAAGACCCACAGCTAATATCATCCTCAATGGGGAAAACTGAGAACTTTTCCTCTACGATCAGGAACAAAACAGGGATGTCCACTCTCACCACTGTTATTTAACATACTACTGGAAGTTCTCGCCCCAGCAATCAGACAACAAAAAGAAAGAAAAGGCATCCAAATCAGCAAGGAAAAAGTCAAACTTTCATTATTTGCACATAACATGATACTCTGTGGAAAACCTGAAAGACTCCACCAAAAATTTGCTAGAACTGATATATGAATTTAGTAAGGTTGCAGACTATAAAATCATGTACGTGGGGCGCCTGGGTGGCTCAGTCGGTTAAGTGGCCGACTTCAGCTCAGGTCATGATCTCACAGTTCATGAGTTTGAGCCCCACGTCGGGCTCTGTGCTGACAGCTCAGAGCCTGGAGCCTGCTTCGGATTCTGTGTCTCCCTCTTTCTCTGCCCCTCTCCTGCTCACACTCTGTGTCTCTCTCTCTCAAAAAAAGATAAACATTAAAAAAATATTTTAAATAAAATAATGTACAGAAATCTGTTCTATTTTCATACACCAATAGTGAAGCAGCAGAAGGAAAATCAAGCAAGCAATCCTATTTATAATTGCACCAAGACCCAAAAGATACCTAGGAATAAACCTAATCCAAGAGGTAAAAGATCTATACTCTGAAAACTATAAAACGCTTATGAAAGAAACTGAATATTACACAAATAGACATCCCATGCTCATGGAATGGAAGAACAAATATTGTTAAAATGTCTATACTACCCAAGTGAATCTACACATTTAATGCAATCCCTATCAAAATACCACCAGCATTTTTCACAGAGCTAGAACAAACAATCCTAAACTTTGCATGGAACCACAAAAAACCCATAAGCCAAAGCAATCTTGAAAAAGAAAAGAAAAGCTGGAGGCATCACAATTCTGGACTTCAAGCTGTACTACAAAGCTGTAATCATCAAGATAGTATAGTACTTGAGCAAAAGTAGACACAAAGGGGCACCTGGTGGCTCAGTTGGTTAAGCATCCAACTTCAGCTCAGGTTGTGATCTCATGGTTCATGGGTTTGAGCCCCATGTTGGGCTCTGCACTGACAACTTGGAGACTGGAGCCTGCTTCAGATTCTGTCTCTCTCTCTGTCTCTCTGTCTCTCTCTCTGCCCCTCCCCTGCTTGTGCTCACACTCTCTCAAAAATAAATAAACATTAGGGGGTTCTGGGTGGCTCAGTCAGTTAAGCGTCCAACTTTGATTCAGGTCATGATCTCACAATACGTGAGTTCGAGCCCTACATTGGATCTGTGCTAACAACTCAGAGCCTGGAGTCTGCTTCAGATTCTGTGTCTCTCTGCCCCTTCCCCTCTCTCAAAAATAAGTAAACATTAAAAATAATTAAACACAAATAAATTAACATTTTTTTAAAAGATTAACGGAACAGAATAGAAAACCAGAAATGGACCCACAATGATATGGCCAGCTCTTCTTCAACAAATATCCAATGGAATAAAGAGAGTGTCTGCAACAAATAGTGCTGGGAGAACTGGACAATAAGATACAAGAGAATGATGGGGCGCCTGGGTGGCTTAGTCGGTTAAGCGTCCGACTTTCGCTTGGGTCATGATCTCGCGGTTCATGGGTTCGAGCCCCGCGTCGGGCTCTGTGCTGACTGCCAGCTCAGAGCCTGGAGCCTGTTTCAGAGTCTGTGACTCCCTCTCTCTCTGGCCCTCCCCTGCTCATGCTGTCTCTATCTCTCTCCTAGAAATAAATAAAACATTAAAAAAAAAAAAGATACAAGAGAATGAAACTGGATCCCTTTCATATACCAAACACAAAAATAAATTCAAGATGGTTGAAAGACCTAAATGTGAGGCAGAAAATCATCCAAACACAGAACACAGGCAGAAACCTCTTTGACTTCAGCTGGAACAACTTCTTACTAGTTTCCTGAGGCAAGGGAAACAAATGCAAAAATAAATTATTGGCACCTCACCAAGACAAAATACTTCTGTACAACAAAGGAAACAACAGAACTAAAAGGCAGCTTACAGAATGGGAGAAGATATTTGAAATGACATATCTGGGGAAAACATAGCTAATGACAGCATATTTGAGAGTATTTGAGAAATATGACTATGGACTATGGGTTAGATAATAATGTTGTATTCATATTACAATTTCTGTTTTGTCAACTCAGCTGTGTTACGTAAAATAAAGTCCCTGTTCTTAAGAAATAAACATCAAAGTATTTAAGGGTAAAGGGACATGATGTCTCTAACTTAGTCTCCAATGGGCCAGAAAAAGAGATGATGATGGAGAGGTAGGTAGTTAGGTAGGTAGGTGGGTAGGCAGGTAGATGGATAGAAAACATGCTTCCAGGCACAATATAAACTACTGCTCGATCTGCAAAGGGATAATTGTTGTTCTTTGTACCACTTTTGCAACTTCTCTGTAAATTTGAAATTTCACTAGAATAAAAACATTTCAGAAAGTAAAAAAAAAAATGAAATGACATATCTGAAAGAGGGTTAAAATTCAAAATATGTAAAGAACTTATTAAAACTGAACACCCAAAAAACAAATAATCCAGTTAAATAATGGGCAGAAGGGGTGCCTGGGTGGCTCAGTCGGTTTAGCATCTCACTCTTGATTTTGGCTCATGTCCTGATCTCATGATCATGGGATCAGGCCCTGTGTTGGGCTCTGCACTGGGCATGGGGCCTGCTTGGGATTCTTTCCCTCCTTCTTCCTTTGCCCCTTCCTAACTTGCTTTCTCTCTTTCTCAAAAAAACACAAAAAACAAAAAACGAAAAACAATAAATAAAAAAATATGCAGAAGACATAAATAGATATTTTTCCAAAGAAGACATACAGATGGCTAACAGACACATGAAAAGATGCTCAATGTCACTCATCATCATGGAAATGCAAACCAAAAGTACAGTGAGATATCACATCACACCTGTCAGAATGGCTAAACTTAACAACACAGGAAACAACAGATGTTGGTGAGGATTCGGAAAAAGAGGAACCCTTTTACACTG